AGTGTTTGGATCAGAAAATGAGCCACAGGGTATTCCAGAGAAAGGAAATAGCTTGTCTAAGGTCTAAAAGCTTAAAAATACAAGGAATATGCTAGAAGAGCTAGATCAGACTTTGTTCCATGCCTTTGATTATATGGCTTGCATTTCTACCAGTGCATGTGGCCATATGGCTACGAAGCTTCCAGAAACTTTTGGTCAATTCCCATTGAAAAACATAGAACTGTATGTGGATTTTTTTTTCTTTCTTTGGGTCAAAAACAAGAATTTCCCTCCATTTTGAGCTCATGAGGAAGTTACAGTGAGGAGGATGTATAATTACAGAGTCATTTCACAACTGTCAGTGGCCCCACTGATCATAACTACTTGTTTCCACCCTGATACCTTAAAATCGCTGATACATGTGTTATTTCCATTAAGCCCCATAATAGTCTTTATTTTCCCCATGAGGAAACAGATTAAAGGAGCGCCCAGAGCCAAAAATATTAAAGACATGCTAAAGGGAAGGTCAAGATATTCTGGCATATAAAAAGGGAGAAAAAATGGTAATATAATAAATGATCTTTGAAGAATTAAAAATCTGCTAACTAAATTGCATGCCACACATGAATCAAAATTCATATCATACAAAAAATAGATGAAGTTAACTACTATCATCAGTAATAAGAAAGCAAAGTTGAAATTTTTCTAATGAGCTGATATGACCATATTATTGACAGGAAAAGCCCATGTTAAGTTTTATTGACAGTAGAGAAAAGTATATAGGAAACTTAGTAACAATTTCTAAATAGGTAGTCTTTTTTGTTGTTTGCTTTTTAAAATGTAAAAATATTTAAATTTAAATTAGGTCTTTCCAAACCATTGCCATAGAATATCTCAGATTATGTAAGTAAGAAGATATACAGAAGCTTAATTTCTAATTTAAAATGTGACTGCTGGCCAGTAAAAGCATGCTAAAAATGGAAAGAGTGAGCTTACTTAATGTCTATCAAAGGGGATTACTTCTTTTTTCTTGAGTTTGACCCCGTCTGACCAACTGCTCATTTTTCACTATGAGCCATATTGTATAGATTTATTCCAAGTATTTACAGAGAAAAAGAATACAAATTAGCCTGGTGAGCAGCAAAATAGAGGCAGTTTTTATGAAACTTGAGTGGTATTAACCTGTAGTCAGATGTAATTTCCATTTTAATATTTTTACATCTTTATATTGTTATGAACCTATTGTTAACATGGGTTTTATTTTATTTGTTTCTCTCCTCCCTCACTTCTGTGAGATGCAGAAGGGAAAGGATGTTTGTTATTCACATATTTGTACCCCTACTAACTGGTGTTATACATCTGGCTTCCACTGGAGAGCCCCTGACATCGCAGGGAACGGTGATCAAAATTCCACACACTAGCTTCAAGCTGGGGGCTCGTAGCTACTGCAGCATTGAGGGGGTCTTTTCCTGGCTTCTTTAAAATAAGCATGGTGATGGGATGGTTTAAGGGACGAACACCTCTCAAATCACATGACCACTGCTGCGCTTCCGTGTGTCCTGCTTTCTTCATAACAGCTTGGCACGACATTCTTTCCCTGTATCTCAGTGGGCTTGTGTGTGTACACGTGGGATAGGGGTTGGGGAGGGGGATTATCAGTGGATGGTTATACATTATGCATGCATCTTTCAGTGTTAGAGTGATGTGCCTTCCCTTATGTGTCACAGATTATGGTCACAGATTAAATCTTCTGCGTTCCTAAGAAATTGGGCTGTCTCTTATTGGTGTGAGATTCATGTGTTTTGATGTTTACACCTTCAATTGTTCTTTATGTTATTAAACATAAGTTGAAATGTTTTCCCATAAGAGTTAGCTTTTCATGTTGGGCTGAAAAAGTCTTCATTTCTGTGTAGCAATTCGTGTTATTATAACCTATGGCTTTCAATTGTACCTCCCATAATGAAGAGCTGACTTTAAACACTGTGCTATTCTTGTTATGACCTAAGCATAAGGTAAGTCACTTCTCTAACTGTATCTAAAGATTGTGGTTGTTTGTTAAAATTTTCTCAGCTTTGTTTAAAGCATTTCACGTTTTTTCTTACCATTTATTACGTGCTCTCCCCTCCTTTTGTTTTCTGTTTCATGGCTTAAGATTTCTTAATGGACAATGTGATCTTCAGCAAAAATTATATTATATGTGTAAACACATGTTGAAATGAATTAAATGAATTATTTGATGTCTGAAAGCAGTCTTGATTAGTAAATGAATACCTATATTTTCACTAAGTCTCTTGTGTTTTTCATTTCTTCCTTTGACTTTAATGTAATATACTGTTTCTACACATTATTTTAGTTTTTATGCCACTTGAAAGGGGAATTGTCAACACCATAAAATCACGTTAGTTGTAGTAAAATAACGTAATCCAATAGAATAAAGTAAAAGACAACCTGATAACCATACCTTTCATTTTTAATCTCTGACAGATTTGGTATTAGGCCAAAATCTCGGTTTTATTTCGTTTTTCAGACTGTCTTTTTTTTCCCATTGAGTAAAAAGACAGGGTAAGATAAAGAAAAAAGAGCAACAAACCATAAACTTTGAGATAGACCTGTGTTACTTTCTTTATAGTCCATATGTGTTCAAACAAGAATAATATTTGTTTCTCAACTTTATTCTTTCAAGTAAATCCCATTGTGAGTTAGGTAAAATCTTCATATTGGGATTTTAAAAAATTAAGTAAATATTATAAAGATGACCAGTTTAATGATGCAAGAGAAAGGGGCATCTACTACAAGCGTAAATATTTTTTAAATGTTTAAATTATTTTCCTTAATTTTTTTTATATATACTCGAGATCACTAAAGTAAAGAAGTTCATGTAATCATTGATTTTAAAAGTGATTTCTCTCAAATCTGGATCAAATAACCAATGGTAATGTAAATGAGAAAACATTGGTTATACTGCTGTTGGCAATTCATTAACCTAGGTATTCAGATTTAGGGAATTGAATTGTTTTCATCATCCAGATTTCTCTTCTGAAACTGTTTGAAACATATAGTTCTAAACTGAGGTGCCACAAAGCAAGACTTGGATTTCTTTATTAAAATTCATGCTATGAATGAAGTTTTTGTTAATTTTTCAAGCCACCTGAGGAAGGGAGAGGGTGGTGTTTTATTGTTTTCGTTTGGTTTGGTTTTTTTGGTTAAGCCAGCTAGTTCTTCACCGCTGTTTCCATTTAGACATATAAATCTGTTGCAACACTTGATGAGACAAGTTGAACTACTCATCTGAACTGCTCTGTTCACTGTAAATCTCTTGTTTCTATCTATACACTAGCTCCACTCTAGATTGGAAGGGCTTAAAGATGAACTCTGGAGGAATAGAGGCTACGACTTAAGAGTAACTATTACTGATCAAAGGAGCTGCTTTCCATTCGCAAACGTTGCTTTGCGCTATGGGTTTGGGCTCCTTCTGTTCCTACATCTTGTTGAAGACTTTCTTGACTTCCATTTGACTTCTTTGAACTCTGTTTTTGTCTTTCAACATTTTCCCCTTTCTTTTCCTTCTCTCTCCCAGATTTTTCTCTCACTCTTTTAGCTTTCTCTTGTGTTCTTTGAGTCACTTTTTAAAACGTATTCTCTCTTTTATTAAGCTTGTCTATTAATTTGTCTATTAGTGTTTGTTTCTTTTCTCCTTTAAGGTTATAGTGGTATAGTTACACTTATTTTCATTCCATGGTATGCCAACTTGCTTGTTTATTTTGCAGCAAGTGCATTAGTCATTCTTACGCTCTTGGTATGAATTTTGAATAAGAAATAGCAGAACATTTTGCATTTACATATTGTCCCTTCTATAAGCCCATACTTTCTTTTTTATTGTCTAGATTTGCTGCCTCAAACCTCTCTCTCTTTTTCTTTTCCTCACTCTCGTGTCTTCCTCCCTGTTTTGTTTTCTTTAAATAGTCATTAATTTCTTTCTCATTTGGTCCGGAATTGTTCTTTAATAAAACCTCCGAGTAAAAGAATATAAGAATATCTCTTTCAGATTAGCTTCTTCATTCTTAGTGTATTTAAAACTAATTAAACAATCTGGGCCAAAAGAGAATAACTTTAGCATCTGAAATTATTTTTCCCTTTTTTTTTCTTTTTTTGGTGTGTGTGTGTGTGTGTTTTTCTTATGTGTATGTTTGTGATTTTTTTATTGTTGTTTCTTTAAACATTAACAATTGTTTTTTTCAGGGAAGGACAACCATAACCCACCCTAAGTTTGCAACATTCCTTTCATAAGTTGTTTCATTACAATAGTAGATTGTGTTAAGCGATAGAAATTAATTTGTTGTCTATAGATCCATTTGGGGCAAGCTGCTGGGGAGTGGGAAGAAGAGGTGTGGAGTTTAAATACAGTTTCCTCTGAAATTGATGAGTGTTAATGCCATCCAACATGGCCCTTGAATTCACCAGTTTTGTAACATTTCAAAGAAGTTCTACTTTGACCCAAAATATTTGCATAAATAACAAAGGTCATTAGAATCACACATAAATATTGTATATGAAGATTTCTCTATCTTCCTTTCGTTAGCATATATAACTAAAATTACTACAATGCAATATTTCCTTACAACTTTATTACTTGAATTGCATTATTATTCTTGTCAAGAGACATGCACCATGCCTTAAGATTAAGAGTCTGTATTCACAACTGAAAATGTGGTAACTTGAATTTTTTTCCGCATACTAATTTCAGATACACATCAATAAAAAATTGCCTTTGGTTTTACCTCTATCCCATTTATAGTACTGTACCCCTAATTTTTTCCAGAAGTCATTTCTTTCTTTAAAGTAAGGAAAGAATAAATTAAAAATATAGAGAACAAATTCAACATGTTTTTACTAACATGTTATGATAGAGATATACAAAGCCTTTGCTCCTAGACCTCAGGAGCTTGCCCATTAAATATGAATACATATCTGGCTATCCATGTTATAAGCCCTAAGTTACTGACTTTATGCTCTCTCTGCAGGTCCAGTCCAGGTGCAGCAGCAAGGAGAACATTCTCAGAGCCAGTAAGTTTGTCATCATTTCAGATAGACTACTGAATTAGAGCTTGTGGTTCAACAGGAAAGAGCACTAAAAATGACATTTTGGTGTAAGAATGAGAAAGAGGAATGGGGAAAGTTGATATCAAGAATATGAATATTAGGGCTTTCACCTTCTTAAAATATTAGTATCAATATAGTAATGAACATTTCCCTTATTCCAATTGTTTTTGCAAGCTGAGAGCAGAACTTGGATAGCACTCCTAGCTAGGGTGGTAATGAGCTCTTCTATGACCCTAAGATGAGAACCCTCTTTAATTGCCCCACTGCCAAAAGTTTTTGAAAAGAGACTAACTGAAAATAATAATAATATAAATCCACTAAAGGAATCTAACTAAAAATAAATAAGTGACTCCTAAGAGGGTACATCATAATCATTTTGTGAATATTAGTTCCTGAAAGATCTCATCTTCACAGGCAGCATGTTTTAGAATATAGTGCCCTGAACCAAGGATGAAGAAAACTTAATTTTATTTTTTTTCTTTGATAACTAATAACCTTATCTTGGTAGTCATTTATCTTTCGGTATTATTCATTTTCCTATCTTATAAAAAGGAACTAAAAATAGTTTACCTGTATCCTTGAAACGATGTGACATTGAAGGTTGTGGCTTAAAAGCTTTGGGATTCTAAGAGAAAAATGCTGTGTAAGTGCTAATTATTTTAATATTGTTCTATGTCGCTTAATATTAATGATATCTTCCTATCTTCTTCCTGATCTTTATCAAGAGAAGTAGTACACATGGACCATACTGAAATGGGTCTATTGGATACTTACACCACTGGCAGTGTTAGTAAATGGGATGATTTATATTTCCAGTAGGATGTCTGTATTATTTAACAATCAAAAAAGTAACTGGAGAATGTCAAATTGGTAAAAGTTCGTGTTTTATTTTATGTTCTTTAATGTAAAATTTTCCCATTTGGTATTGTGACTATGTTCCCTTCGCTTGAAACCCTTGAGATGAGAGACAAGCATACTGCACTTCTTTGCCCAGGACCTTTATATTATAGTTATATAAAACAAAATGCATACAGGCATGTTTAATTTGTATAGTTTTGTGAGTTTCTACAACATCTGACAAACGTGAGTCTGAGGGAGGCTTTTCAATTATAAGACATGTAAGGTCCTATAATCCCTTACTAAGACCTATGGTTGAGAAACCTGAGAGTCAGGGGAATGAAGATTAAATATTCACTAAAATAAAACAATAGAGATAAATGAACTTTAAAAATGAAATTTTTTGACGATTACTGTATGATTTCCATTTATTGTTGATCCTGAGATGATGATGGATCATTAACAGTAATTAGGGTAATTAGGAACAAAAATAATTTCTTACTGAGAAGAGATCTCTTTGAACCCTTTTTCACCTCTGTCATGAATCTTTGTGTTGTTTGGACTGTCTTTTGTTTCAGTTATGCTCTCACTGGCTTGTTGGCTAGTAATCACTTTGGATGGACATCATTATGGTCCAGGTTTTCTGATCAAGTTTTCTTAGGATGAATTAGTCATGTAGGTAGTCCATATAGCCACTTAGATCTGTGTAGAAAGCCCATCCAACATCATAGCCTCATAGTTCTGTGACTTCTGTAGGTTTAAGGTCTTTCCTCTCAACACCAATTTAGTAACTCATACTCGTACCCATAGCCACACCCAGGAGTCTTTCATCACCATGAGCTGTTCTACCTCTGAACTTCTTAACTTCAATATCTCATTGCTTATTTAGTCTGCTTTTATCTCTCTTTTTTGCTTCCTTTGCCATGTACTACTCTATGGCAGTCATATAGACCCTATTAGCAGTTCCCCATTCTCTCAATTCTGTGTCCTGCCTCTATTCCTTTGGACCCTTTCCTCTGCTGCATAAAATATCCATTCCCCTGTTTTCCTAGAAAACTCTTACTTATCCTTCAAGACTCAGTTCAAGTGTGATCTCCTCTGTGACACCTCCTCTTAGTTCCCCCCCCAGGCAGGGTGACTAATCATTCTTGTATACCCCTACTACTACTTCTACTTTAATCATTTTTCATTTATTTACTGAATTAACTGTCCTCAAGGAAAACATTTCCAGAATGTTTTGAAAGCTGTAATCAACTTCTTTTCCAGCATATATTAAAATGTGTCAAAACAAAACATCAATGGGGGGCCCATCCAGTGGCATAATTGTTAAGTTCGTGCAGTCTGCTTTGGCAGTCCAGCGTTTGCAAGTTCAGATCCTAGGCGCAGACCTAGCACCACTCGTCAAGCCACATTGTAGTAGCATCCCACATAAAATAGAGGAAGATGGACATGGATTTAGCTCAGGGACAGTTTTCCTCAAGCAAAAAGAAGAAGATTGGCAACAGATGTTAGTTCATGACCAATCTTCCTCACCAAAATACCCCACAAAAACAAAAAGCAGTGGATCCTAGAGAAAGGAGAAGAGTTAGAACTTAATAGAGCTTATCTAGAATTGGTAACTTTGTCCAAATAAGAGGTAACTCTCCTTTGGCTCCTCAAAAATATTATCAAAACAACCTGTTGATAATAAAACTGAGCTTATTCTCACCATATGGTAAGGAAGAATGCCACTTCAACAAAGTCTTGTGTCAGAGTCAGAGTCAGAGTCTAAGAAAGGAAAGAGCAAACTCAGGATATTTATGAGATTTTGAACTTTGATTTAAAGCAGATCTTTTAATGTGGGGGCTTGATTAGAATTAAATAAGGATCATGATACAATCATTTAGGAATCATAGACACAGCAAGGCAAGGGGTTCTGAGAGTCTTGGTATATAAACTTTCTTTTGATACTTTCTATTTAAGAAGTTTCTGGAATGAACAATAAAGTTATTTACAACTTTTATCTTCCAGGGAAAAGTTTTCTGGAATAGTAAAGTTATGGTGAAAATGACAGTAGAATAGTAACGTTATACTAATGAAGACAGTAAGCTGTGTAGTTACAGATGGTTTCAGGTATCAGGGTTCCCTTTGTGGAGTCTTCAGCCTGAACTTAAAGATAGACCATTAGCATCTAAAAATGTGATCACTTGATCGATCCAGACCTTCACCCCTACTTAAGGAATCATAATAGTATAACAACTATCTAGAGAAGTTGTTTCAACCTTCCTAAGTGTCAAGTTTTTCTGTGTTTGTTGTTGTTGGATGATCATTTATTGAACAATTTTATACGACTTTGGCTGTATAGTAGCATTTAGGACTGTGGAGATCACACATCTGAACCCTGCAACAAGAATGTGAGAAGGATTATGATCAGAGTTTGCAGTCCTTTTCTCAGCCAGGAGCCAAGAGTGTCCAAAATTAAGCCAAGAACAACTATATGCCACCAAACTGGACAACCTAGAAGAAATGGAAAAATTCTTAGAAGCATACAACCTACTAAGACTGAATCAGGGAGAAATAGAAAATCTGAACAGACCAATTACTAATAAGGAGATTGAATCAGTAATCAAAAATCTTCCAATGAAAAAAAGCTAGGACCAGATCGTTTCACTGGTAAATTTTACCAAATATTTGATGAAGAATTAAAACCTGTCCTTCTCAGATTCTTCCAAAAAATTGAAGAGGAGAGAACACTCCCAAACTCATTTTACAAGGACAGCATTACCCTGATACAAAAGCCAGAAAAGGATGCTACAAGAAAGGACACTATCAAGGGCCAATATCCTTGATGAGTGTAGATGAAAAATTCTCAAAAATGTACTAGTAAACTGAATTCAGCAACACATTAAAAGGATCATTCACCATGATCAAATGGAATTTATCCCTGGGATGCAAGGATGTTTCAATATATGCAAATAAATAAATGTGATGCATCACATTAATAGAATGAAAGAAAAAATCATATGATCATCTCAATAGACACAGAACAAGCATTTGACACTCCGCTTCGGCGGCCCAGGGTCTCACCAGTTCGGATCCTGGGCACGGACATGGTACCACTCATCAAGCCATGCTGAGGCGACATCCCGCATGCCACAACTAGAAGGACCCACAACTAAAAATATACAGTTATGTACTGGGGGGTTTTGGGGAGAAAAAGGAAAAATAAAATCTTTAGAAAAAAAAAGACAAGAGATAACAAATGGTAGTGAGGATGTGGAAAAGATCCACTGTTGGTGGGATTCTAAATTGATATAGCCACTATGGAAAACAGTATGGAGGTTCCTTAAAAATAGAACTGCCGTATGATCCAGCAGTTCTACTACTGGGAATATATCCAAAGGAAACAAAAACACTACGTTGAAGAGATATCTGCACTTTCTTGTTCATAGAAGCATTATTTAGAATAGCCAAGACATGGAAAGAACCTAAGTGTCCGTTGACGGATGAATGAATAAAGAAGTTGTGATATACAACATGGTGGAATATTATTCAGCCATTACAAAGAAGAAAATCCTGCCATTTACAGCAACATGGATGGACCTTGAGGGCATTATGTTAAGTGAAGTTAGTCAGACAGAGGAAGATAAATCTTGTGTGATCTCACTTTTATGTAGAATCAAAAACAACTAAAGTCTTAGAAAAAGAGATCAGATTTGTAGTGACCAGAGGCAAGGGGTGTGGCATGGGGCAACTGGATGAAGGTAGTCAAAAGGTACAAACTTTCTGGTATAAAATAACTAAGTACTGGAGATGTGATGTACAACATGATGACAATAGTTAACACTGCTGTATGGTATATATTTGAAAGTAAAGAAAATAAATCCTAAGAGTACTTGTCACAAGGAAAAAGAAATTTTTTTTTGCATCTGTGTGAGGTGATGGATGTTAACTAAACTTACTGTGGTAAGTATTTCACAGTATATGAAAGTGAAGTTATGCTGTACACCTTAAACTCAACCAGTGCTCTATGTCAATTATATCTTAGTAAAACTGGGGGAAAAAATGAAAACAAAATTAACCCAGGAGAATAGATCTCATTCTCAATCTGAGGAACATTCAGAATAAGATATATGGTTATTAGCCAA